TATGAACCCTAGATCAAATCCATGATCTCAATTATCCAAATTAGCGTTGTTTCCACCATAGAATCTAGAACAAACCCTCCCCCATCAATATTCACCCATTTTATTACGTTCTACGGATCGAAAAATGGATTCGGGGAGTGATAAACTTACCTTTAGCCTCAAGAATGGTGAAAAACGAGTAGGAATCGCCTGGGGGTCGTTTCTTAGCTATAAAAGTCAAAAAGTGCATAATGAGGTCGTTTAGGGGTTTATTAATGACTTTAATTCGCGTTAGGCCCGCCACAGTGGCCACCACCTCGCCACAGCGGCCCCGCCAAAGCGGCAAAAACCCAGCGCCAAAGCGGCATTCTCGAGACAGAGGGTTATTTCAAGAATTCCAAAATTCTCATTTCACAACACACCTCTAACTCACAACGCTCAGTAAATACCCTTTACGCTAAGATCGATTCCGGGAGCTCTACTCGCTCGAATTCAATTTCATAAAGTTGTACGGATTCCTTAACGAGTTATCTAACTACTCATGTAATCAAAATCATAAATGATTCACTCGATTGTTACCAGATTTCCCTACACCTTAATGACTCCGATTTCGTCCAAATTTGGACTAGGTTGGGAAAATCCAAGTTACTACGAAAAAGTTTCTGGCCCCAATTATTTCTCCATTGATTTTTCCATAACGACGGAAATCAGGTCGTTACAAGGCGCTTCTTCATACTTTTAAACCACAATTTATTTAAGTTCTCTACTCTTCTTCTTCTTAAAAAATCTCAAGTGTTATTTGTAAAAATTGAATAAGTTCGAAACTCAACGAAATTCGAGGTACCTCATAAGAAAGAGTTGGTGAACAAATTGTAGCAAATCATTCATCAATTCTCACACTCATATTTTTTCTTACGATTTTCATGAATTAACAGTGACAAAAAGTTGTGGGAGAGACAATAATATTAAACAGATATGAAAAAAGGCATATGATTTGGGTAAGATATTTCTTCTTTGTTTTTTTTTTATTCAATTACCCTCAAATGAAGGAGTTTCTTCCTAATTTCGCTAAAACAATGGGCATCAACATAGTCAATTGAATTATTAGTTTTGATGTTAAATTCACTATTTCAAAAATAAATTTTTACTTTTACTTATAATATGATAATATAGCCATGATAATAATTATTTTTAATAGATATGTATGTAAAATGGAATGGAGAAAGTAAAGTGTTGATGGCAAGAGATTTAAATCAAATGGAACACCAGAGTGAATATAGCATGCACATATATTTTTGTCTTCCTTCTTCATTGGCTATGTATTGTTCCATATAATTTTTCTTTATGTCACAAGATACACTCTTTACTAGTTATATAAAAATAGATAAGTAAATAGTGATTGATCATTAAATGATCTTAAATCAAATTAATGATTCTATGAATAATACTTTAAATTTTATTCATCTATTAATTTTTATTATTGAAAAATTTAAATATTTTATATCATGATACAACTTCTATAAGATACTAGATACATTTATTAGACAACAACTATATGGTATGTATGCGGCAGAAAAAAAGGAGAAGACTACAATTCCATAAATATAAGGTAGAAACTTAATGAAATGAAATATTTTTTACCATAGGTGATGTTGTTCATATATTAAAATAAAACTATTCTATTGAAGTGTATATATCTATAACAAAGAATTGGTCAAGCTAAATATTTGACATACACTCAAACTTGTATTTAACCATCATTCATGATAACAACAAAGTATACTTTTTTGGTAAAATTACCTCTCTATGATAGTCTTACTCAAATATTAATTGAGTAATAATATTTTATAAAAGATATATTACATATAAAGATAAAGTATTGAAATACTTATGGTAATTCTTTTTAGTTTCATGCACATACTAAATTTCAAGTATGAATATTTAAGACAAAATTTGTACTTAAATGGTGTACATCATTTATGTTCATAACCTCAAGAGGAAAGGCTATTGGTGACATTTTTTGAATGAATAATTTCTTTTTCCGATTTTGTTGGTTAGATTTGTTTACAAAATTGAGTGAAGTAAGAAATAGTACTACTAAAGAAATGTCACGTTCTCTCATATTTAAACTCTGAATGTATTTTGAAATGTTTTAATGATAAATGGTCATATTGATCTCAAAATACAAGAAACTCTATGACAATATGGATTAATCATTTAAAAACACTTGTCCTATGTTCATTCAATTATAATTATTTACTAAAAAGCTTTAATTTAGTAATATTAATTTTATTTTACAACATCATATATTATATGTACGATACACACGTGCAACGCACGTGCCGTGAAACTAGTATCATATATATATATATATATATAAGAGAACCTTAGGCCCGCCAACATGGCGCCACCACAAATCAGAATTCCTTTTTAATTTATTTATTTCCAAAACTAGCATTCCCTTTTCATGAAAAGTTGTGACTTTTATGAAAAGTTGCGACTTTAATGAAGAGTTGCGACTTTTATGAAGAGTTGCGACTTTTATGAAGAGTTGCGACTTTTATGAAAAGTTGCGACTTTTATGAAAAGTTGTGACCTTTCCGAAGGATTGCAACTTTTCCAAATAGTTGTAACCATTCCGATAAGGCACAATAAACATTTGTTCATACTACCCTTTGTTGTCTATAAATACAGGGATTTCTTCTCATTTTAAAACAACAAAAATTCTAAACCTCCTCTTCTTCTTATTCTTCACAATTAAATATTTGTGTACTTTGCTCATGTTGAGTGGCTCACTTACACCATTGCTTATGTTACAGATCCTGGTACGTATTTTTGCAGTCATTATTTTATGCTTATGTTACTAAGGATAAATGATAAGATGTAATAATTTTCATTTTACTTTACATTATTAATGTTTGTTACTACGTAATCTTGTATGTAAGATAATATAATGTTTTAGTTTTAATGACGAATAGATTTTAAGTATTATTTTATAAATTTCGTGATATTAAGTTTCCGCGCGAAACGCGGATAATTTTACTAGTATATATATATAGGCATATTCAAAATTTCTTTTACCCTAGCTCCAACTTCTAAACAAATTGTAAAAGTTTTAATTAAATTTTTTTTTTATTAAAAACGTATTTAAATTGAACGTGAAAAAAAAAAACTGATTATTCAACTAAGTAATTTTATTTTTCAATTTTATCCTTAATCTAAATTAATTATTATTGACCATCACAATTTAAATAAACAATTTAAACTATAGCTAGGTAGACTAAATATATATCACTATTTGCTATGACACATAGTTTTTACTAATTTGAATGGTTCATGATTAGATTATTAAGTGGGGATAAGACACAAGTACCCTCCTAGGCTATGACCAAAATTTCAGAGACACACCTTAACTAAACTAATGTCCTATTACCCTCCCTAAACCAATTATTTTTTCCAGTAATTTTGTCCACCTTTTTGGCTTACGTGACATCCAAACATCTCCCACGCCCCTCAACTACGTGGAGTCACAGAGTGTGCCACGTAAGCCAAAAGATGTATAAAATTACAAAAAAAAAAAATGAGTTCGGAGAGGTAATAGGACCTCAATTTAGTTAAGATGTATCTCTGAGATTTTGGTCATAGTCTAAGGGGTGGGAGGGGATACTTGTGCCTTATCCCTGGATTAAGTGCATTTATTTACATGAAAATTAAAACACTTATTTGATCTACATAGGTTTTAATCTTTAAAATCTTAAACAATTCTTAATATTATTAAGAGATATATTTGTGTGGATAATTTTCACAATCACTCAATTGACAATCATCAGTCACTACACTATCTTAGTTGTCACAACCACCACCATCATCATTGTCAACCATCATCCTGGCTTCATAGCCACCATTGGCAAATATCATTGTTGTCAAAAATACTACTGTTAGTCGCTATCACCTATCATATTCATTATTATTATTATTATTATCATATTCACCATCACCGTCGTCATTGTTGGGGCTGCCACCACTACTATCAATGCCACCACTATAGACAATCTTTATTATCAACCACCTCTGCCTCACTACTATCACCAACATATAGTCAACCACCACAATTTTCTGCTACCAACATTACCAACTACTAACATGAACCAACTCCACCATTGTCACCGTCACGCAAGTCACTGAAACACGAAGTACTTCTTCTATAACAATTAGCACCACCTTCACCATCACAACTATCAATACCACCATTACTAGCCATTAGCACTTACCTTCACTACCACCAACACAAGCAAACATAAATATTTTAATTTTAAAGTCGAATAATTTTAAAATATATATATATATTTATTTAAATTATTTGATTATTTTTTAAATCTAAATTGTATATTTATCATATTTACAAATAAATAAATTATATAAGTTCATATACTGAAAAATAAATGACCTTAATCATTTAATGATCAAATTTAAAAATATCTTAATCATTTAAATTTGCATTTAGATTCACATTTTAATCAAAGACATAATGGCTCATGGTAGACATCTTTTCTTCTAATTTTGTGTTTTAAAGTTGTTGAAAGCCTATGATTTTAATTGGTAATCTAACATAGCATACTTGCCTTCTGTTTAACAATCATAATACTTTGGCGTCAAAGTTCAACAAGAATACTTTTTCAAACCCAAGTGAAGACACATGATATAGAAAATATTGTATCTCATATATATAAATATACTAACAAGCAGTTTACAGAATCTAACTTGTAGTGGTCTACCCAACATATACAATATAACAGCCAAGCACATAAACGTGATTGACCTTCCCAGTTGAAATTCAACTGTATCAACAAATTCCTTTGGTTTACTGTTTGGAATCAGAATATGGTAAAGAGGGGGTTGAAAGGGGGGGGGGGGGGGGGTCATCAGCAAGTCCAATAAAGTAGCATTTGCACAAAGAACAACTTTCACAATGTTTTTGTCAGTCAACAGTTGATATGGGAAGGAAGAGATGTCAAACAGTTGATAATAAACAAATTGGTTTGCAAATAAGTATACTAAAGATACATAACATTCACAAGGTTTAGAAACCAAGGGAGGTACACTGCTTCTTAGCATGTTCTGGTATCAGTTTGTTTAAGAGCTCTGCAGATGCTCCTTTCAACTCTGTAGATGAAATTGCACAAAAATAAGTAACCAAGAAAACTTCAATTCCTTAAAAGTACTGGTAAGGGAATATGATTAAACCTTGAGGCCTAAAGTTGAAGAGAGGTGGCAATGGTCGACCATTAGGGAGACGAGTCTTAGGGTCACGGAGCTCATCGAAGAAAGAGTGGGTGCAAGCCTCCAACTGCAAATGGGAATCAAATACATATTACAATAGCTTAATGGAAATTGTTTTCTAATAAGTAGAACCAACATTGTCTTGCATGCCATACCAAACATGAAAGAAAGGTACCTTGCTCATCATCATTTTTATGCATTTAAAATGCATCCAAATTATGCAATCAAATGATTATAAAAACATCCGACTCCACAAGTAACAAAATCTATTTCATAGAATTATGTTATATAACAGAAATGATACAACAAGATCATATCAGGATGCAATATTTTTTGGACAACTACCAGCTGCAAATGCACTTCTCGGAAAATATATCAGCCCAAGAAATTAGAGAATACTAATTCTTAAGTTATGAAACAACTTCTTCAGAAATGACATGACCTGTTTCCTAAAGCATTTTAAAGGTGTAAAGATGTGAAACTAATTTTTCTGTTGTTACTGTTAAGGTAGGGCCCTTAGGTAGCTTGGCATAATTTAAGATGGGAACAGATTGTCCAGTGTTAAGAAACAAATAGGGGAAAAACAACTTTAAAGCAACTGACAACCTATTTCTTTTTTGTTCTTTGTTTGGATAAGGGAAAAGACATAGTTGTTTCGATGGGAAATTCTAAACAAGGCCAAGTAATGCACACAATACAAAGAGCATGTGGTCCTGTTACTCTGATGAGTATGAAGCCCTTAGTTATTCTTGGTTCCACAATCATCTAAAAGCAACTCCAGAGGAAAGACTCCTAAATTAACCTTCAGAATCATACAATTGTTTGTTCCCCTCACATTGTGGTCTGAAGTTTGACCAGGTACTACTGCGTAATATGGTTTCTTGATCTGCCCGGTTCATCTATATTTGCAGCTGAGAAATTGAGGGGAAAAAAGTTTAAACTTACCGCAGTAGACCGCAAATTTGGAGAATACTGGAGAAGCCTTGACACAAGATCCACAGCTTCAGGAGGCATCCGCTTATGAAAAATCTGGAATAAAAAGAAGCAATGAGTATATAAGTGTGTAAGGAATGATCAGCACTGTATTATCTATGTAGGAACAGACAAGAACCTCACTTTATGCCAAGGGTGAGCTTTGATTTGTGGGAATTTGAACTCAGTGTAATTTGGATTCATACACTTGATTTCCTCCCGAGTTGGTGTTCCGAGAACCTAGACCATACAAGATTTCAGTACAATTGCTTTCTGCAATCTGGAGATCATGAAATTAAGTTCATCATTACTCGAGTGAAGATACCTTGATAATTTCCACGAGCTGATCAACTCCACTCTCACCAGGAAAGAGGGGCTATGGATATTGTAACAGAAAAAGATTAGAAAGATGTCAAGAATTATGAAATTGTTCCTGTCTAGAATTAAAGAACAAGATTCTGAAAGAATAAGACCTGCCCAAGAAGCAGTTCAGCAAGGACACAACCCACAGACCAAATGTCAATTGCAAATGTGTATTCAGTTGCTCCAAATATAAGTTCAGGCGCACGATAGTAACGAGAGCAAATGTATGAAATATTTGGCTCGCCTTTGACCTGAAGGATAATATATAACTTTAGGCAGCTATTTAAGAGAAACATGAAGATCAAAATAAACACAAGATTGAGCTGAAATCATCTGATACCCCCGAGAAAAATGCAGTCGAGAAAAGAATAAAGTGTGGGCATTTAGGAGAATTGATCAAGTCTAACTTGATTGACATTAATGAAAAGCAAATTTTTTTGTTCAGGTAGAATCCTTTTTTGATATTGTACAGTGTTGAAAGTTACTTGTTTATCATTTGGTTGACAGACAAAACTGGACCAGAGATCATGATCATGAAATACACTCATCAAAAATAAGAGGACTAATTCAATAGTAACTGTAAGTGCTTCACCTCAGAAACTAGAACAGTAGAAAAAGTATGAAAAAGTAGAAAACAATACCAATTTACTATAATCCAAGACACTTTGCTTCCCTAAATAATCAGGGGACAGACAATGTAACATCGTTAAAAAAAAAGAAAAGGGCAGACCGGTGCACTAAGCTTGCGCTATCAGCAGGGTCTGGGGATGGGCTGGACCACAAGGGTCTATTGTACGCAGCCTTACCCTACATTTCTGCAACAGGCTGTTTCCACAGCTCAAACCCATGACCTCCTGGTCACATGGAAGCAATGTAACATTGTTCAACTTCTGTAAAATCCTAGTAACTATATGACAAACATAACCATCACTTGTCACCAACAAAACAAATGCACAAAACCACAACTGTTTCCTGATTTATTTGCAAGTGGATGATAGTAGTGCACAACCACAATGACTCATCACAAAAGATGGCACACAACCATAGTCATTCTTGGTTTATAAGACAAATGTTAATGGGGATTCCTTTTCTTCGTGAAATGGGGTAGGTGACAAAAGTAGCATACATTAACTTCTAAGTTGCAAAACTGCTGTTGCTGAATAAATAAACGTTGTGCTTTGTATCCCCTCATACTCCGACACACTCATGGGAGCACTACTTTAACCTGTAGAACTGATCTTGAGGCAATCATTGAAGTTGCGAGGGATGAGACAAGCTAAAAAAAACCTCAGAAAACTTGGTCCAAGTTAAAATAGGAGACCTAATTGACCTGGTCGAAATAAAGGTACACCACGACTTACTAGCTGACCCATCTAATAGATACGCTGTGAATTTGGTTCCTCTAGACTCTACTAGACCTAAAATATGATTTTGCTAATGGAAAGTTGTAAGAAACATGTGGGTATCCCCACCCACAGCCCCAAAAAACCTTAGAGGTTAGAGTATGAGAAACACTCCAAGCATCTTCTTCTTTAAAGGTATGGCTTCGGCCACATTCACGGGTTGGGCACCTATAGGTGGTACCTGGACCTGAGGTGCCTCTATTGTAGGATGATCCTGTAGTGCCAGTGCAGCTGCAACTCTAGCATGATGCATGCCTTAAGCACAATCAATAGTTGTACAATGGTTGCCTGAAGGTACGGAGCCATAGAGGATCCAGGTGACAGCTGAGATGTCCCCGACCCCACAGATTGAACTGGAACTTAAACTACTAGAGGGTCTGATTATGGTTCCAGACCTCACTCTCTTCAGGGCTAGTGCTGCACTCCTGGCCTATAGTAGAGGTCGACCCCTTCCTCGAGCTGTTGTATAGCGTGTATGAGCCATTCTCTGAAATTAATGAAACAAGTGAGATTTCAAGAAACTAACTACACACATGCTGCATTAAAGCAACACAAAAGAGGATAAATTCATAAAGACACCCTATAGCCTCCTAAAGATAGGATACAAATATTTCCACACCGATCCATAAATCTCTAATTTGTATTAACTCTGTACTAGTGAGACAGACAAATCTAGGGCTCTGATACCAACTTTTCATGACTCGATTCCTCGAGTCATGAGGGCATATACTATAACCCTCAAGTAGGGAAACTAATGTATAACCTAGAATAGCAAGCAATAAGTATAAGGGTACAACTAAATAGAAATCAAACTAAACCACCAAACACAACAAAAGTGGGAGCAAACAAAAAACTATATACAAAAGGTCCCTCCCATAACCTAGAAATCAGAAATACAGAGTTGTCTAAAAAAAGAGAAAATCACAAAAGTGGACAAAAATAAAGCTTGTTTAAAAAGGAAAAAGACTAGCTAAATTAGTACAAAATGAGATAAGTTGATGCAAGACTCTAAGTGCTCACACTCATCTCCAAATCCCTAATTCTTCTAATTGCACAAATAATCACCGCTTCTAGCTGGTACTAGGACCTGCATGACGAAACAAATTAAGATTGTAGTATGAGTATAAAAACTGGGTACTTTGTAGACATCACATGTCGACTAAGCAAGAAAGGTAAAAACAATATGGAAAGATAAAATCTAGATACAGACAGAGGTCAAAGCGAATATGAAAGAAAGAATACGAACATACCGAAAGTAAATCTAAGTGCACCTAAGCTAAACCTAACTGACCTCTATAAGCCTAGAATATACATTCATGCACATGTTTAAATGAAAATCAAATACACCCTGTAAGCCCGACAGGTATAAAGAGTACCTAAGTGTACAAGAGAGAAAGGCACCACAAATCCAAACCCAAGAAAAAAAATTCAGGCTCCCAACCCAAGTAACCACAGTATCTAGTAATCCAGTCAACTTCCAGCCCAACTAGCAATCTAGGTCGCCCAGCCAGCTAATCCACTCCATCTCAACTAGCAAGAGGGACATAAGGGTGTTTCTACTCCAAAAAGGGTCTCAAAATATCAAAGCCGCCCATCTAGATAGACTACTTCAAAGACATCCAACTAAAAAAAGTATCCCGAGTGGTGTTGACTCCCAAAAGGATATCGAATATGAGATCAATCAATACTTAGCCACCATGGATCAACGTCCCCTCACAACGAATCACAAGAAGTATCCAGCCTGAATAACCTTAATCCCAAGTCGCAGGAGAAAGAACATAACATATGGCAACACATCGGAGGTTAAAATGGATATGAAAGAAACCATACGAGCATATTGAAAGTAAATCTCAGTACATCTAGGCTAAACCTAACTGACCCCTATAAGCCTAGAATGTACACTCATGCACATGTTAAAATGAAACTCAAACAGACCCCCGTAATCCCGATAGGTATAAAGAGTAGCTAAGTCTACAAGAGTTCTAGGCACCACAAATCCAAACCCAAGAAACAAAAGTCATAATCCAGTCAACTTCCAGTCCAGCAAGCAAGAGTGATCATCAGTCTAGGCCACTCCCAATGGGGCGTGTCAACTCCAAAAAAGGTCTCAAAGTATCAAAGCCACCCTGTCAGACAGTCCACTTCAAAGCCACCCATCTAGAAAAAGGGTTCCGAGGGGTGTTGACTCCCTAAATGATGTCGAATATGAGATCAATCAATACTAAGCCACTGTGGATCAACGTCACCTAACAAGGAATCACAAGAAGTATCCTGCCTGAATAACCCTAATCCCAAGTTGCTCGAGAAAGAACAAAACCTATGGTAACACATCGAAGGCGCATAAATAGGGAGAAAAGATATAAGATGATTAAAGTAGCGAAAACACCTAAACTAAGGCTCATACTATCACACTCAAGTTTGATACTCTAGTCTACAGGATTCTACTCCATCTAAACTAATGTGGGAGAATGAGCAAGTCTAGGGAAATACTAGCCTAATCCTAGACCAAGTTTGAACATGCTCAAAACCAATAAAACAACATAACCAATTCACAAAAATATGGAATAACACACATTAATACCATTAGAAGGGTACTACACCTAAGAATAAGGTTGATCATCCCTAAATCATGATATCTAGGAAAAGAAATAACAATGACTAAGTACCCGCCCTTAATTCACTTTAATCAACATGCTTTAAATCATTCAAGCTCAATCTAACAAGAAAAAGGAAGTTGTAGCCTACCTTTAGGCCGACCTTGCATGGTCCAAATAAACATCCCAAAATGGCCTTATTATGTTGTCACACTATCAAAAATAGGATCACAACGTTCATATGGTCGTTTAGACATTGAAAAAAAGTCAAATAGAAACAAACTAATTTTGCAATCAAATGGAAATTATGGAACCCGTGCCAGAATTTTAAGAATTTAATCCATCAAAATGTCCTAAGCAATACCCCGAGCTTGTTTTCCAAAATGGAACACAATTCGGGGTTCGGAAGAGCAAACAATCAGAACATGTAACAATTTCCCAATTAAACTCAAAAAAAGGAACTAGGCACCCCAGATATCACATAATTTTACCTTAAACAAAGGTTCACTAACAACTTGCAATCATTCTACAATTTAGCCACAACATTCACGGATGCACATGACTTCAATTCACCCAAAGTTGACTTCAATTTAGAGAGTTATAACCTTTCCAAGTTCACAGGCAAGCTTCCATCACATCTCATTTTAAATAAAAGGCTAGACAAAAATTCTCCTTGAGAACCCAGCCTAGAGGGCTCGCGATCATGGTGCATAAGAAAATTACCTTCACGAATTTGGCATGGTGGCCACAAACAGGAAGGCCAAAGAAACCAGAAGTACATGATCATAGTCGGGTCCCTGCGAATGTGAAGGACAGGTGCCTAGCCCTTCATGAACATTACATGGACCTCGCAAACTGTGTGAACAACTTCCCCTGTCTTCATGAATGCGACCCAAGGTGCAAGAACTCAAAGACCAATTTTGGTCTACACCAGTTGATGCATAACAGCTCGTTTGAAAAGTTTCCAAATCTCTTTGGAGCATTCCAAATTCGTTTGGAACCCCCTACACACAAACAAGATATGCAACCCTATCAAATTTGATATTTAAAACTAAAACGAAGAATTCAAAATTTTTGTGCAAGGTCATCTTGGCAAAAAGTGAGTCCTCCCTAAACTTTATTTTAAGCCAAAATTCACAAGAGGACTTAAAATTAGCCAGAAGACTTGCTATGCACACGAAGGTTGTTCTAGGCCAAACTCAACATTGCGGTACTAATCACACTGATAGAATTCTTATCCGACCACTTTTACCCATGATGTTGACTAAAGTCAAGCTTAGGTCTTAACTTCAAAGTTAAACTGTGTAATTGCACAAACTCACACTCAAAGCTTCGAGAGTAATGCTCACCATGATTATAGCCTAAAATTACCCTTATGGAGCTGATGGAATTGTTAAAATTTGATTATAAGCTTATCCTCCTGAACTTTTGATAAAAATGACCATTCAAGGTCCAAAAGCTCCAAAACATAGAAACTCGCATTAAAACCAAATGAATGACCATGTGACTGAATTGTTAGTCCAAGAAAGTCCTAAATGAGTTGGGGTCTCTATAGAAACGCTCTAAACGATGCACATAAAGTGTATGTCATGACCTAGAGTACACCTTAGGCGTGACATAGTGTATAAGATCTTGAGAGGCCCTACACAAGCTACTTGATATACATATACACAATATGATAGACAAAAGTATAGAATCTCATATGAATATGGAAGTTTGAGATAAAAACAGATATCTTACATAGCCTTGACAAGCCATTCTAATACATGAAGAAGTGATCGGGACAAAAATTGTACACCATGTACAACATCCAAAAACTAATGGCATAAGAAAAATATAGTAAAGGTGACATGGTCCTTGGATCATGAAGACCCATTAACTGTAACGATTTGTTCTCGTCGTTAGAGAAAATCCAACGGGGAAAAATTTGAGGCTGGAAAACTTTTTTATAGTATTTGGATTTTTCCAACCTAATTCAGATTTGGATGAAATCAGAGTGTGTGAGGTCTATAGTAATCTGGTAGCAATTGGGTGATTTAATAATGAATTTGATCACATGAGTAGATAAATAGGTCGTTAAGGAACCCATACGACTTTATGGAATTGAATTCGGGCAAGTAAAACTCTCGAAATTAATCTTAGCATGAACGGGTAGTTTTTGAGTGTCGTTAGGTGAAGGTGTGTTGTGAAATGAGAGTTTGGAATTCTTAAATCGACTTAATGGTTCAGTGCAAGCTGTAAGTGCGGGATTTCTGCCACCAGAGGGGCCGCTGTAGCGTGGTGAGGACTGTTGTGGCTGGTCCGACGCAACTTTGGAAATGACCCCAAAACTTCTTTAGTCTGCACTTTTTGATTTTTTAGAGTAAGAAGACGAACCCCAGGCGATTCTTGATAGTTTTCCACCATTCATAAGGCTAAAGGTAAGATTTCAACTGCCCGAATCCATTTTTTGATCTGTAGAACGTAATCTAATGGGTAATTATCGATGGGGGAAGGTTTGATCTAGAATTTATGGTGGAAACAGCCTTAATTTGGATAGTGGGATCATGGATATGATCTAAGGTTGATAGAATTGTTAGTAATACGGGTAATTAGTGATTGTTTATTGATTCTCGTGTTATATTAATTGTTTGTAGACCAAGAATAGGCGGAACGAATC